GTTACTTGAAATAAAGTGCCTTCAGAGAGTTTGTCAGCATCATGAGGATGTAAACAAGACTTCCCAATTCCCAGTTCAGTAAAGCACGGTTGATTTTTGGCACAGAGTGCAGTGCCTAGCTGGGAGGCATGAACACCTTCTGAAGAGCTGGGGCATGGAAGGGCTGCAGTGGGCACTGCAGCTCCATTTGGGATTGTTGGACCTCCATGGTGGATGCTGTCAGGGGGGTGATCACCCAGCCCCACAGACTGGCAGCTGCACATTACTGAAACCAAATTTTCAAATAGGAAATTGGCCTTTTATCTTTGGTACTTGCTACATAATGGTGCAGAGCTTTAGTCAGCTGAACCTCACCATGGTTTACTGCCTGGTTGTAAATTGTAATTGGCTGGCTAACCCTCTCTGATGTTAAGTGCCTTGAAAGGTTGTTTTTCCTTTATTTTAGTTTAGGTTTAGTTTCTGGCTTTAGTTTCTGTTCTCTCTGTTTATTCTGATACTAAAATGTAATTAGAAATTAAAAAGAACAAAGCAAACCTCCAACCCTACTGATGTACATTAACATGAATCATCATCTCTTGAAAGTGTGTTTAATCCAGAGCTCTGCAACCTGATATACATCCCCTTCATTTGGTAAATATTTAAAATATCTGCAGACATTTTTTTCACATTCTTGAGCAAAGGCCACATCACCCTGCATTCAGCCTTGTTTTTGTTTTTGAGTATTGATGTTACAAAGTTGTTAAATGTTTTCTCTTCTTTTGTAATTTCTAATATCTATTGTACTATTATAAAAACAGATGCAAAGACAGAGAGAAAAGCCTACCAATTTATTTCCCTTTTAATAATCAAAATGAGTATATTAGAAAGAAAATGTAAGCAACTTTAAATAGTGCCAAAGGCTGTAGTCTTTGAGAACAGTTGAATTGGGAGGTTTATATAATGAACAGAGTTGATGATGCCTGTAATAAAGTGGATTAGCTGTTAGAAATTCTGTTACACCATTTATCTTTATGTAGCTAATCTTCCATATTTGCAATTTCAGTCATATGTGCTTGGGGGTACCCAGATAGGTTGTGGTTGTCAAAAAAAGTGGGCACATTTTAGTTGTCCCAGTGTAGTTTCCAAAGGAGATAAGAGAGAAATTTTCGTAGCTTTTCTTCTGGATCACATGTATTGCCCCCTTGGCAATCATTAGTTCCTGCCCTGAGGTAGTAATACTGACTTCTTTTTCTTTTATGCATCTTTCCATCTTGGACTTCTGCTAGGTATTCCTTACAGCTTACATGGAGTTGCCTTTCATGTGAATAAAGCAAATTCTGATCACAGTACTGCTTCTTCCAAATAATTTCAGGCTAAATATGTCCTATTCCGTGGATTCTGATTGTGTGATTGCCAGAGCCCCACGTCTGCTGGTGGCAGCACTGGTGGCCTGTGTGATGGTGATCCTTGAGGACTGTTCCTGTCAGGTGGGGTGTGCACAGGCTGGCTGGGGAGAAGAGACCTGCAGGCAGCACAGGCAGCTCATCAGGACATCTGTGTGTGGCAGACTCCTTTTAGAAGCCTCTTGCCTAGGTCAGGACCATGGCACATCCCTCTTTGCCTGCTTCCAGCAACAGAAGGGCTTCTTTCGTTGGCCACCTTCATAGTGGAATTCAAAATGTTTTTACTTTAAGAGGACATTGACCAATAACTTGGCCTGATCCTGGCATACTGGCTTATTTTGAGAAATGTTCTCTGTCCCTTCTTCTTCACGCATATGAGGTATCTGTTCGCTGTATTCTCCACTGGCTTGCAATGTCCTACAAACAGGGACTGTAATTCTAATTGTCAAACGATCTTTAAATCATTTTCTTGTAAAATAGTTTGACTTTTTATTTGGAATTAAACTTGAGAGTGAATACACATGCAGAACCTTTAAGGAGCACAGGTGTTCCTCTAATACCATGAATAGTGCTTTGATTCAAACTTGAGTAGTCTAGAATGGCGTTGATATTTTTTTTAAGGAGCAAAGCTTTACTTAAAAAATAGGTCAAATTCAGTTGCTTGTGTTTAAAAGAAGAACAATCTTTGCAAGTAAGGGACTTGAAAAGCCTGGAATCAGTTTCTTGCTATTCTCCAACATATTTTGTATCTCCTCAGGGAGGCAATTTAGGCTTTCAGTCATCAAATCATCGTCTCCAAAATGGGGATAATGAAGACATTCTTAGGGCCTGGGAGTGTTGAGATTACAGACCAACTGATGGACCATTTATGGATTCCAAGAGCCCTTACGTGCCTCTGTGTGGCTGTAAACCTCAACCTTTCCCAAAATGCAGCTACCCACTGGACCTCCGTAGTCAGTGTAGATTCAGTGCATTATATCCTTACTGAAGTGGTTTTTTTGTTAGCAATTTGATTACCTGTGGGAGTGTATGTATGTGTTCATTCACTATGATGTTGTCCCAAAGCAATTGCGAAGTGATTTGATCCCCTTGCTGAGAGAAGTGTTGTGTAGAAAGGTTTAGGCCACTTACAGGGACACTTTAGCCAATTAGCATTGCCCTCTAATTCAGGGTAGGGGACTGAAAGAGAAATGTCATTTTGCCGACTCTGACTGTCTGACTATGGTTGTTATTACCAGTGATCTCTGTATCACATTTCAAATCCAGTTTGCTGTGGTGATGGATCAATAACAACTGTGAAGCATGATGATCTACATAAATTCCTGTGATTTCCACGGAAAGTTTTTTATTTTCCTCTCTTTCAGATTGTCACCTGGTATTGTCCTGCTTAGTGCTGTGTTAATCAGAGTTGCTTCTTCCCTGACCCTTTTTGCTCAAAAAAACCCCCATGTCAGATACTTGTGAAGTGCTGCATCTTCACCACAAATACAGGTGCAAGTACATGAGCCTGGAATTACTGTAGCTCAAGAAATATGCCTTCATGTCTATAAGCAGTATAGCTGCACTCCTTTGGATCTTCTCATGTGCATAAACCTTTGATTTGTGATATCTCTTGGGATAGTTGACCACTTCTTGGGATTTCTGTGTGCCCCGCATTTATCTGTCTAACTATGAAGGATGTTACTTGGCATCATAAAGAACTTGTATCAAATGGTGTGATATTTGGATCTACTGCTTTTAGTCGCTAACAGAAATTTGTCCTGCTCCTGGGTTTTTTTCCCCTCTGTTAGCTGGAGGGAGAATCATAACCTTAACATTATTTAATTGGAGGGCTTTTGAGTTAATTAATTTAACTCTTCACTGCCTTTGATCTCATGGTTTTATGAGTATTTTTAATTGATCTTATTTGTATGGAAATGTAATCTAACATTAATTTAACAAGAGGGATTCAAACCAGTGGTCAGCTCAGCTGTTCAATCAAGGGTATTGCTCAGTGCTATTTATTGGCTTTAATTTGAAGATCATGGCCACCCCAGAAACAAAAAAGGATAAGCAGCTACTGGTGCTGAAATCCTGTAATTGTAGGCAGGTTCACTGATGGATACTCTTGGCTTGGAATTGTACTGGCCGCAGCAAATAAATATGGCTTGCTTTCCTTTCCACTGAGTTTTACAAATACAAATAGGAATATGGAAAGAGAAAGGGGAGCACTTAACCTGTGAATTTCAGTCCAGCTGGATTTAAGCAAACCACCCATTTATTCTGAGATTAATGGCTTGCAGGCAGACTCTATCAGTTCTGGACTGTATTGTATTATTTGCAACTGCAAGAGTTAATGCTAGTAATTGCTTTTCCTCTATAGAGAGAGCCTGTAGTGTAGATTGTTTTTACATGGCAATCTGTGATTGATAGATCAGGGAAAACAGGACCAAAGAAGGTTACTGCCTCCCAACAACTTCCCTCTTCAAATTAAAATAATTTGCAGTTTGTAGGATGCCTTGTCACACGTGCTTCAGGAATGAAGCAGTAAACACACTAGGCTGCATTCCCTTAAAGCAGTGAACCTCTTACTGCCTTTCTTTCACCAAACCAAACAAGTCGTGTTGTTGGGAGTCCATTGAAAACAAGTGTGCTGGTGAAACAGTCCCCAGACCCCTTCAGCAAACTTCCTGTACGGTCAGGCAGCGGACCTGATGAAAGAGCCTGTTTGTGAACCTTTGGATTCCTTCCATTGATTTGTAAATCCACTTTATTAAAGTACTGCCGAAGCTAGTGAAATGAGCAGCCGAGGGCTCCCATCAAGTTCCTAACAAATATCTGATGCAGCTTGGATCACTGGTACTGGCACATGCTTTTGAAATGGGTTTTTTTTCTGCTGCGTTGGATCGTTTCGAGACTGGGGGAGTAGAGACGTAGGAGGAAAAATGCAGTCTCCATCAGCCACACATTACATGGCTGCTTTATTTTTCAATGCTGCTAAAACTCCTCTTATTTAATATCGACCATAGCAAGGAGCCAGCAAAGTACGGTGTTAATTGGGTCCACTGGAATTCTTGTCCCCTGGGAGAGAGAGCTTCCTAGGCAGGGAGGGCGGAGGGAAGGAGGGAGGGAGGGAGAGAAGGAGGGAGGCAGGCAGGGAGGAGGGGACCCACTGTGCGCAGCATAAAATGTAAGTGCACTAGACATCAAGGCTTCTGCTCGCAGCGCTGGGAAGCAGTCGCGGCAGTTCCCACCCGCCCCCCTTTCAGAAATTAGACAACTATTTTTTTTCTTTTTTTTTTTTTTTTGTTTTTGTTTTTTTAAGTCTGGTAGTTGTCCTTGAATTAACAGCTCCGTTCTTTTATTTTTTCTTTGCTTTTTCTTTCCCCCCGCCCCGTTTGCGGAGGGCTCTTTTTAATTTGAATTGTTTTCCTCTGCTTTCTGCAAAGCTGCAAAAGCTCTGCTTTGAAAACTGCTGCCCCAGAGTGCAGTTGCTTAGCTGTCCTGTCAGCATTGTTCTAATGCTCATTCCATATGTATGTCACATAGGAGCAGTACCCTCCTCCTCTCCCTTCCCCCCATCCATGCATTTGATTTTTTTCGCCTAAAGACCGATTTTTTTTTTTTTTAATTTTTCTGAAGGAGCTTGCAAACAGGGAAATTCAAACTGAATGTGTCTGTGCTGTGGTTACTTATATAGCCAAGACCACATTTCTCTTAGAAAAAGTGTTTGCTCTGTTCCTTCTTTTCCCTCTTTTTCTTCCCTATAAGCACAAAGGCTTTAAAAACTAAGATCTATAGTTCCTTTTGCCTTTTTTTTTTTTTTTTTTTTTTTTGCGTTACCGTGACAGCATGTATCTCTGTTGCTGAAGAATGAAGCAGGCAGGCTGGAGGTTTTTTATGTTCAGTGCTTTTGGGACCACTAAAAAGAAGTCTGCAGAGAAATACGTACAGCAACTGTGCCAACTGAGTTTCTCATGACTGTTATCTGTCACTTATTCTGACTAAAAGGTAAGGGGCTCTTTAGTATTTTTGTTAAAGTCTTTGTGCATTGTTTCTGTGGTGTCATTTGACATGTGCAACTCGGTGGCTCAGGAGGGAGGTGGGTTGTGAAGATTTTTGTGTTAAGGTATTATAGGTCACCCAAGCAAAGCTCTTTGCATCCAGAGGAGAGAAAAAAAGATCTTGTTTCTTGGAATTGTTTCCCTTTTCATCTCAAATGGTTCCTCCAGCTTAGCTCGCTGCTGATTGAGACATAAAGCTGGGGCATTATCGCCGGTGCTGATCTTTGCTGGTGCTCTTTCTGTACCTCGGGAGCACACGCACCCCGTTGGGTGTGCTGAGCAGATGTGGGGTAAGGCACAGCCCGGTGCATGGCTAACACTTGGCAACATGCACATTCTCCCCGCTCACTGTAACTAAATGTCTTCAGGCACCCTTCGCAAGGTAAGAATGCCTTACTTCAGCACACTGCAGCTTATGCCTGTTTAAAATTATTGCTTGGATTACAGTGCATACTGTGGAAAGTTATTAGTTTCCACAGAGACCAGTTTAATTGGAGGGTATGTGTGCAGCGGTTCTGTTTTCTGCTCTCCATACACTGCTTGTGGGGGAGTATGAAATGTTATTTTCTTCTTAATTCTTGGGAAGGGTGAAGTTTACACTGTCTGTTAGGCATAGCAAATGAAGTTAGAGCTCAAATCGATTAAAGCTGTGGAGAAGCATAGCCTTACAAGGCTCTTCAACTTAGCCTGAGAGTCAGAAGATACTTTATTAAAATATTTGTTTGCTCTGCATTGTAATATGCAGAATTGTAAGCAGGAACACATCTTCACCAAGCAGAATTAGCAGTGAATGATGCCTGGACTGGATCATTATGTCATTTATGTGTTAGAAACCTGTTTAATCCACAGCCTTGGTGCGCACTGTTTTTTTTGTGCGAGTGCGCTGGATACATCTTTCAACAACCTCTTAGTTCAAGAGGGCATTGTTTTCTAAAATGTGTTAATGTGTTTCTGCCTTGCAGGCAGTCAGAAGTGCTCTCTGTAACTGTCCCCTTAGCTGTGACACAGCCCATTATTTGGCATTTTGGAAAGGGCTGATTTTAGGGCTTGCTTTGCTTTCTTTCAGTTATTTGTGGTCCTACTTCTGAGCTGTTGGTTCTCTGCATGGAAAATGCTTCTTGAGGGTGCTCATTTCTCATGCTTTGCAGTCATAAGTAGCTGAGACAGTTGAGCAACCTGATGTAGTGGTGTCGCTTTACCAGGAATGTTGCATTGCTTATTTGAATAACCAGGAATGCCACCAAATATGTAATTACTTTAAAAACAGTCTAAAAATACAAAGTGTGAGGGAAGAGAGAAAAGTCCTGTCTGCAGGCATTCATTTCTTTCCGTACTGTGGCTGTTTATAATGTTATTTCAAAATCAGGTATTTCCTAACACGTGCTCTGTGACTCTTATTTTCCCATTATTGTTGTATTATATCAGCACTGAGAAAACAGTAATTTAGATAACAGGTTTTCATTGATATTCTTTTTGTAATATAGAAGGCAGTATAAGAAGCAGTAATAAGTTAAATTGGCATCTGCTAATTATGCTGAATACAGATTGTGAGCTCTTCAAGTCGTCCCTTGCCTTAATGCTGTTAGCATATTTTAGCACTGGCAACCAAAGGAAAGAAACTGGAATGTTCCTGCTTGGGGTTTTTTAGGGAAAAAAAAATTATGACTTGTGAAGCAGTGTGAAGTTTTGGGGGTTTTTTTATGCTTTTTGTGCTGGTTGTGAACATCATACACAATTGGGTAGCACTTGGCAGAATTGTGATCCAGGAGAAACTGACCTTGCTTGGTGATCGCTGAAATTAAATTTGAGCCTTGGAGACAAAACCATTGTTGTCGAAAAGTTTGAGAGTTTAGTTGTCACCAAATACGTGATTGTTTTGGATCTCTGAGAGAGACAATTAAAAATAGAACTCTTCTGAACTTAGTTGTGGTTCTTCAGTACTGCATGGCAGTTTTGCTCACGAACGCCTGTGGCTTCCGCGGCAGCAGGAGAGCTGCGCTGTGCCCCGCTGTGCCCAGCTGTGCCCAGCTGTGCTGTGTGCTGTGTGCTGTGTTCTCCCCGTGCAGCAGCGGTGCTGTCGGGCCGTGGCCCGGAGCGCGGCTGGCGGTGGCCGTGCCAGCCCGGGACGCGGCTCCGTCCGCCCGCGGGCAGCGGCGCCGGCAGCGGCGGCCGCTCCGCCGCTAGAGGGGAGGCGAGAGCCGCTTATCCCGGTGCCTGGCACCGCCGGGAACACCGGGAACCGCCTGGCCAGGGGCGGGCTTGCACCGAGCGTGGGCACGGCCGGCATCCCTGGGTGCCGAGGATATCCAGCGGTGCTCGCTGCGGCCTCGTGTGGGCTGGTAGCGGGGATCTTCTCGGGGGGCAGCCCGCTGCTGCGCTGGGTGGTGTGCTGAGGCGGGTTTAGACGGAACAGAAACGTGCCCACGCTTCGTGTGCGCTGGAGTTTGTGCCTGTGGAGCTGCCCCTGTGCACAGCCTCCCGCTCGCCTGGATCCAGCCTGCAGAAGGGGAGACTGAGGGGAGAGCTCAGCGTGGTCTTCAGCATCCTCATGAGAGGAAGCACAGGGCCAGGCACTGACCTCTTCTTTACAGTGACCACTGATAGGAAACGAGGGGATGGCCTGAAGCTGTGTTGGGCAGAGTTTAGGGTGGGTATCAGGAAAAGGTTCTTCACCCAGAGGGTGTTTGGGCATTGAACAGGCTCCCCAGGGCAGTGGTCACAGCTCCAAGCCCGACAGAGCTCAAGGAACATTTGGACAGCACTCTCAAGCATGTTCAGCATCTCAGGTCATATTCCTGGGGGGCTGTCCTGTGCAGGGCCAGGAGCTGGACTTCAGTGATCCCTCCGGGTCCCAACTCAGGATATCCTGTGATTTTTACGAGTAATGATGATCTGGCACATAGATTTACCACAGGTTGTTTCATCCTTCTGTAGAAAAGCAGTATTTTGGAGTTCAGGGATTGCTCTGTGTGATGGGGATGGGCACAGTGGGAAGTGTCCTGTGTATGGGGAGGTGCAGGGGTCAGTGGAGATAGGAGAGCTCCCAAACTGAATTCTCCAGGTCGGGGTGAGGCTGCCTTGGGATGGATGGGCAGTGCAGGAGCTTGCATGCTTTGGATGTTGGTGTGTTGTGGCAGTGCTGTAAGTCTTGTCTTCATACGAACCTAATTTTGCTAAAAGTGGTGTCAGAGTCTTTTTAATAAGATATTATGAGTTTGGCTTCAGTTTTGGGTTTTCTTATTCTCTTATGTGCATGTGTAAAATGCAAAGCATATTTAATGAGTGAGTACTTCAAATGCTTCCAAATCAATTAAAAACAGTTCCACATCTGGAATAAATCCAGTACCTTTCATGGATGGCTTCAACTTCATGGTTTTTCTGTCTTGTGAGAAGCCCTGTGAATATTCCTGTGTGGATGCTTGTGAAAGCTGGAGTAGCAGAATCCAGGCTTATTTTACAAAGGAGAGAGAACTGGAACCCACAGAGATCAATAGAATCTTGACCTTTATTCCAGCAGACTTTGGATAAGACCTAATAATATTATATGATTATATGATACACCTGTGCATGGCCAAGTTTTCTCAGGGTACCTTTTCTTGAAGGTAACTGTAAATCTTAATTAAAATTTGTTGTTTCTTGTGGTTCAGCTGCTGTTTAAATTCACACAGGTTTCAGAGGGGCTTGAATTAGGCACCACAAACAAAAAAATAGTATTTTTATAATAAGCTTTTTCTTCTGCCTTCTCTGTCCCCAGAAGTAAATAAAATGATCAGATTTTTCTCAGTGAGAATGTTGTGATTTAAACTGACACAACTAAGTGACCTAAAGATAGGCTTATTGCATAGATTAAAAAATGCAGGGTTGAGTTGTTTGAACTGCATTAGCATCAGAATAAGAAATGGCAGGGCAAGTTGGCTGAGGTGCCCATGCAGAACTGGGGAGGGTTGTTCTTTGGAAAGCTTCTGAGCTGGGAATTCTTTTCTGAGCCATAAATAAATAAATCTGTGTCCTGAACAGTTAATGAATACAGGAGTCTGGGCAACTTTAAGCTGTTTGGGATATTTAGGAAACCCACATGGTGCTTTTGTTAGTATTGTTGATTTCCGTTTTTTCCCCTAATATTTCCATTTTAAGGTTTTTGTTGGGTTGGTTTGTTTGGTTTTTTTACTTGCTTTATTTATTCTGAAAGATGCTGTTGCTAATGTTTTTGCCAGCACTTTTCTGTAACTCCCACAGCAGTTTCATTGTATGTTGCACCAAAATACTGCCCCTGAAACTTTTGATTCTCGAGCTACAGATGGAGATTGCAGAGTTTTGTGCATCGAGTACCTCATTTTTGGAGTTGTCCTCTGGCTGCTTGTGCTGGATCCTCTCGGGATGCCAAGAAAGTTATCTTGCAGGGATCCTACTGTGATTGCATATACAGCTTTTCCAGGGGAACTCAGTGTGTTTTGCAGACCAAAACTAATTAAACCTCATGACATTCATGGCAGACAGATAAGCATAAACCACGATAAGTAAACTAAAACAGGAAGAGGTGAAGAGCTCAAGTTTCCCATGGTAGTGAGCAGTAACATTCCCACCGAACCAAGCTATAGGTGTTATGTACCTCTGAAAATAAGGGTGCTGTTGGCTTGGCTGGTAGAGCTACCCTTTTGGCACTAGATTTTGTGGAGGCAGTTAATATTTACAGTTTTGCATCTAGCACCTGCCTGTTAAAGGTTGAATTAATTCAAATTGCCTTAGCGTTTCCTTGCTGCTGAGTTCTTGGTGAGTCTGCATAAGCAGCATCATCATGGAAATTTACTGAAATGTCCTCGTGCCCTTCCAGACTTCTTTTAATTCAGAATTTTCTGAATTAACCAGCCTTGATTGGAATTGTAACTTTTTGCACTACATAGGAAGTGCCTGACAAAGGCACACCAACACTGACTGGCTGTGACCATT